CACATTACTTAATCAATAAATACAATTTTTAATTGTTTATAACAAATTCGTATTGTTATAAACAATGCATGTTTGATAAAAGTTATATTTAGTTGTGAACAATAATGTCTAGTCAGTATCGACTCAATTTTCAAATGAAATTGTTATTGTTTGACTTGAGAGTATTTTAAATAGCTAATCTTTTCATTTTTTTATTAGTTATTTTGTTATAAAAAAAACCGGCTCGACCGAATTTGTTCAAATTCCTTTCAGATCTTCTTTATAATAATATCTTTCGAATTAATTTTGGTTAAAGTCGATGTCTTAATCCGTTCTTGAGATATCGAAAACGAAAAAAATGCTGACGTCCATACGTACATACATACGTACGTACACACACACATCATTCTTAAAATTGGTCAGTATGCTTGCAAATACCATGAAACGTGGAGGTATGATGGAAATTCAAATTTCACCAATCGACCCAATTACAATAACTTCTTAATGGGAAATTTAATATAAATAAAAAAAAACAAGTAACAATCCTAGAAGAAAGATAAAATAGGCCCGTTATTGAGACTGGAATAAAATTATCATTCAGTGATGGTTTTATACTCACTCATGACTGGATGATAACTTTATTTACTGGCAAGTTTGGAATATCCTACTAATAATAAGGAAACAAAAAAGAACCGAAATTTTAAAGTAAAATTAAAAATCTTCTATTTAAAAATTTAATTGTCTGCCCCAAATTTCATTATGACAATTGCTAACACACAAACATTTCTAGTCTCTGTCGCCCTTTTTTTTCCTCACGGTTTCTTTGAAGCTTGCATTATTATAATTGTCTTCTACAATACAAGTAAAGTTAATAGCTGAATTTTATTTTCACTTAGACTTCTTCAATTTCAATTCTAACTAATGAATCTGCGAGAAAAAAAATCCGGAAAATTTAATAACAAATTCATGAAAGTATTCACTTGAGAATCATTTTTAAATTTTCTAAAATGTTGTTTTCGCTCAAATTTATTTCTCTTCACAGTAAAATTCATCCATTAATGCCAATAACTAGAATATATCTTTCTGACAAATAATTTTAATTGCAGATTGATTGCAGCCCATTGAAAAGCAAGTCTTTCGATACTACAAGTCTATCTTTTTACATCAATGATACATAAATAACGTTTTCTTCTTGAAATAAAAAAAAAAATTCAACCACCAGAGAAGTGTAAGGATGCTTCCAGGTGAGGCGATGAAAATAATGAGTCGCGGCTCACGAACTCTCAACCATCGATTTTCACAAGTAAGATCGAATCTCTCGCCGCTTGGAAGAATTGAGAGAGTGATAGAGAGTCAGACCATTCTCTCATCTTGCAGCCTTAGAATTGATGATGGGAAAGTACCTATTTTTATCAGACTTGCTCGAAATATACGTATAGAAAAGTTGTAAGAGTAAAAGAGATAAACACAATGTGTTGTTATATAACATAAAAAAATAATAAAATAGTTAAGAATATAAATAGTCGATTTATTTTGATCAGAAAGACTGAATGATATTTTACGATTGTTGGTTTAGGATCCGAAGAAACTGGTATATATTTTTGCGAGCATTCTGAGCGTGACTGTATACATAATAAAGTGCAAAAATAGTAGAATGGTTTGAGATAAAAATAAAAAGCTTTGTAGCTGTGTTAACTTTGGAATAAACAAGTGGAATTGTATTTTGGAATTATTATTTAAATTAATATGCTTTTCGTTGGACAAAAATGATAGTGTTACTTTTATATATCTACCTATTTTTAGAGTTTGAGTGCTGTAAAATTTATTTTATCACTTCTAGGTATTTTAAAACAATCAATTACCAACTTTTAATATACGTACTTTGTTTTAAAAGCATACACGTATCTGCTCTTTATTTTTTTCAAAACTTTCACTCAACCTCCATTGTTTTTTTTTTTTGTTCATTCATGCCTGTAAAAATTTTTTTTTGACCTAAATAATATCAAGTTATCGTTCAACACATTCTATATAACATTGAAATACTCTCGCTCATTAATTTTAATCATGTCAATTATTTAAAAAAAAGTGTTTCAAAAATTAATATCTTTTCGAATAAACAATTTTTTTAGGATTTTATTAGAATGATAACAATTGTGTGATTCTTGATTAAACGATCATATTCCGGGACAGCAAATAGAGAGAAAAAATATCAAATTTTTTTAATCGAACCCTACAATAACCATCTGGGTCAGAGGTAACTTGTATTTTTTTTATCGAAAAAAATTTTTAGATGGATTTCATTCCAATCAAAAGCTTCAAGTTTAAAAAAAAAAATATCTATACAATATTCACAGAATAAAGAGAATAAATATCACTTCAAATCAAAAAAAATTCAAGTATTTAATAAAAAAAAAAATACATAAAGTGTTTAATAACTAAATATCTAAGTGTTGACAATGTTTTTTACTATAAACAAACTATAGAAATATTTAAAATTTATCTAAAAAATTTATTTGTGATTTTTAACATTGTAAAAATTTTAAGTGTTTAGTTTCTTGACACTTGAATTGGCAATAATATAAATAATAAAACTTATAAGAAGCTTGTAAAAGATATACAACAAAGATGAAAGTATCATTTTTATTTCTATGTAGACAATAGAATATTAAGAAAGACTGCAACAATATGAGATTCTTGGCATGTATAAAATGAAATATTGAAGAATATAAAATACTCAAAAGAAATTTTTTATTACATTTTATTCTCCATATTCCAATGTTAAACTTATTTATTACTATTTATCAATGATTGTATGATGAATAGTAGAGATTATCCGAAATTATTATTTATAAATAAAATAAATATTTATTAATATCATTAAATAACCGGTAATAATTCTAAATATTGAATAATCCTAAGACTTTTAATGATTAAATACATTGTTAATAATTTGCCATTGTCACTTCAAATCCTTTCTGTAAATTTAATGCTAATTTGTTATGAGCAGAACACAGGGTGTCTTTTGAAGTACATATAATTGAGCAGCTGGTTAATTTATGAAAGGAATATTTCATCTGAAGAGCTCTTAATAGCTGTTTATATCACAAATTTCTCTTTAAAATGGAAACTTGGGTAGAAATAAGATAATGTTCATTCAATGATTCTACATCACCAACAATATGAATGTTGTTCATCAAGTTTAAAGCTAAAACAAGGTACAATTAGAAACAGTGTACGTTTTATACTTTATTCCATGCTTATCTCTTTAACCAATTCAATGTTCATCATCAACGTCATCAACAAAAATCGTGATTACTTTCAGGACAGGTTATAATTTCAATCTATTGTGGTAAGAGAATATGCATCCTCAATGTGAGATCCAATGATCATAAAGAAAGGATGATTTCAAGTGGTCTCTCTTGAGAGGTGAGAAACTTTGTGGGTAATTTCACAGGCATGAAAAGCATCAGACCTATACTGATAAGTACTTACCACAAACTGACTACAATAGCGGAGATTTGCCTTTGAGAAGACAAGTTAGAAGTTGATCTTAACGTTGAATAAGGACTAGAACGACTTGAGAATTCATAATATAATTTTAGAGCATCAACGTGCACGTTTCTAGTGCAAATTCAACATGGTTATGTTCTTCTCTTCATTCAAACAGGGAAGACAAAGAAGTCCAAGTTATTGTTGTGAATGTGAAAATTGAAAATTTGATTTATATCACGTTAAATTATTCTGATGAATTTTTTGTAAAGATATTCCATAAATTCTCTTCTATCTTTTTTTTATTCAATGTATTTTTGAAGTAAACATTGAAACATTTTTTTTTCTAACAGAAAATTTACTTTAAAAAATCCCTCTTGGTACGTGAGCTCCAATATTAATCGGAAAATTACATTTTTCCAATTTTAAAATCGACTGTTAAATCCATGAATAAAATATATATGAAGTAAGATAATATTTATATATTATTTTTCCATTCATCAATACTATCAATTCAGTTTGCATATTCGTGAGCTGATTCTAGTGAGTTAATACATCAAATTGAAATATGAGAATCAATAAAACCACGAAAAAAAAATAAAATGGAAAAATAATTATTCAAACATTCCAGAGATAGTTGTTTTTAGAAAGTATGTAACTGAAACTGTGTGCAAAGTAATTTGTCTGGAATGTAAACGTCTGAAATTGACATTTTGATAATCACAAAATGTAAATGACAACAAAACTGTTGGAATGTCCAAAACAGTCAAACTTCTGTTGGTCTAAGTATAATACCAACTTCTCTCTCTTCCCAAGAGTCATCTGATTTAGACGTTTACATAATTTCTTGTCAGAGAATTTTTTATGCAGCTTAATCATACTCATCAGACGTAAATTTTATCGTTGGTAAATTGTCATGACATCTGGGTTAAAATTTCAAAAAGATATCATAGTATTAAGTATTTATTTCAGTTGAAGAAATCATTCGATAATTTTCTCTGTAGATTTTCATGATAAAATTCCATCAAGTATCTCACGTGGCATAAGTTTCTTAAAGTTCAATCGGAATAATTCGCAAAATTATTCAAAGTAGCCGGTGAAGCTCGTTTAGAAATGTATGCAAGTCTTTGCACGTGAGTTGTCTCTAGTTCGTAAACTCTGTCTAGCTTTATCATTGTCCGAGTGTTTCCAACCTCTTGAGACTTTCTCAACTACCTTGAATATAGCTTCGGTCTTATGACTCACATCAAGACATGAAATCGAACTTGGATAAAGTTTGTTGCATACTTCTGAATGTCTAGGTTGTTAGGACTATCAACATTGATTTTTCATCATTAATGTCATATTTCTGGAGTACTTACATATTTTTTTTACCACAGTTTTATTAGTGTCATCTGAATAAATCATAACTTAAGTACTTACAAAATCAATAGTGAGTTTTAAAATTGAAAATAAAGAAGAATAAAAACGAATCAAAACTTCATGAAGTAAAAATTCTTAAGAAAAACTTTACATGAAGTTGAATACAATAAAAGTCTTAAAAATATAACTGAAAATAAGTAAACTTTACTAAACTAAAAAAAATATTCTTCTGATTGAAAATTACCTTTATATTATGAGTGAATTCAAGAATGTGGCAATTGCCTTATTCCAAGTAATAATCAAATATTAAATATTGAATTTCTATAAACTAATATTTATTTTTAGTAATTTTAACCCAACTATCGATCAGTGGATTCCCTAATTTAATTAAAGAGAGTAATTAAATTTATTTAATTAGAATTTATTTAATGAATGGATCTAAAAAAAGACAACTTAGAAATCAATTTATTACGTTGAAGAAAAAAAATTATTCAAATAAATCAAAAGTAATACATGCCTAGGCTCCATTCAAGTGATATTTGAAATTGAGGCTAAAAGGTAAGAGGCAAAAGAAAAATAAAACAATTGAGAACTGTAAAATTATATAGCCATGATAGCATGAGCATTTCACATTTAGAACACTATACATTAAATTTCACGATCAAATGCAGAAGAAGAAGTCGGTTTGGTCGGTTTATAGCACTCACAGCGCGTTTCTCTCATAAGAGAGATGAAGATAGGATAAGCTTATATAGAGTGTCACGGATGGCTAGGATCGCTTTGAGGAGGAAGACAGGTAGAAAAAGAGAAAAGATGGAGACATAAGCTAGTAGCAATTATCTGCAGCAGTCAGTTTATGTTTGGAAATAAAGGTTTATGTTTGGCTATTTTATTTGTCTACTTTCCATTCACTTTCGCGTAGAGCATGCGAAAAGTACTCCAATATATAATCCAACTACGCTGAGTTGCGATAATACAACGTGGACTTGGTTAACACACGGATAAGAGAATAAACGATGTTTGAATAGCCAGATTGATGATAAAAAAATATTACGTTAGTTATATCAATAGAAATATCATTTTGGAATGTAAATAATTTTTTCTTCTTTTTTTATTTTAACTATATAAATTACAATCTGTTGATGTCTAACAGTGAGTAATTGGTCTGATTTTTGCACTATTTTAAGGAGGTCATCCGTTGAGTTACTCGTTTTGATTTTTAGATGACAAAGAAAGGAAGTAAAATGTGAAGTTATCTTATGATCATAATACTGTAAATAAAAGTACTATGGACTGTGCTCTAGGTGTTGAATTGATTGACGAAATCTGTCGGTATGCAAATAATTGAAAAATTATTCTTGTAGCTGAAGCTGTTGAGTTAAATATATTTTTTCTATTTTCTACTTGAATAATTAACTTCAGAAAAATATTTTTTTTATACACAAATTAAATAAAAATATTATTTATTTTTCAAAATCACATTTTTTTCATTATCTCTGTTGATTTTATTTATTAAAACTGTAGATTCTTGATAAAGGAGACTTGTTAAACAGTTGGATATTACTCTAGAGTTATTTATTTATTTATGGAGTGTGGAGATTTTTATTTTTGTAAAATGGACCGAATGAGTGTAATCGGAAATCATGGAAGGTAAATAAGTCTAATTAGGTTGACAAATACGCGAGATAATTACCATTGGGTACTAAATAATTCAAATTTACATTTTAATCTAGTTAATTTTGCAACAATAAACATTATGTGAAATATAATTGAGAAAAAGAGAGATAGAAAATAACTGACCACCAGACCGACAAGTTCTATTCATTGCTGGACAATTGTTTGAGTTGATAATGCCAAGTTCTGCAAATATTTTTGAACCCGTACCATCCAGGTCAAACTTGAATATAATACGATTATGAAACAATACTTTCTTTATTGAAGAAATTTAAATAATTGTATTTATTACTGTGCAGTGTCAAAAAAAAAAAAAATAGGAATAATAAAATATTTCGTGAGACAAAGACGTGAATTATTAACTGAATGAAACTGTAAATTGTAAAAGGACAATTCATTTTTCAAGGATAAAAAAAAATGCAGCATTTGTGTGTAAGGAATACGAATGAGAAATTAAAACTTGTGAGGAAAAGAAATAAACCTAAAAAGTAGTGTTTAATTAATATTTTCATTTAAACAAAGTAGTTGGAATTTTTTTACAATCATCTCTAAATGAAGTATCAGCATGAATTTTTAGCCCAGTTTCCACAAACTTTCCTGATACAAAAATTGCCAAGGAAATCAAGTACAATTCAACCAAGCGTGTCGTACTTGTATAAAGATATTGTGAACCATCGTAAACTGAGAAGAGACTTTGGTGTGATGGAAATGTTCTATATTTTGCCAGCAAAGACTTCAGTTGCTTTCTAAAGTTAAGAAAAACAATGCTAAAATTTTCAACATATATTCCATTTGTGGTAGTTGTATTTTTCATTATTGTATATAATCTAGCACGAAATCTCCATAATGTTAAATATTCTTATAAAAATACCTTAAAAAAAACAACAAAAATGTTTTCAACAATAAAATAATTTAAAATAGTTCAACGAGAGACATATCCACTGTAAATTTCAATGTTTTATTTTAAAACATTAAAAATGTTTTAATATGACGTCACCTATTTAATTAACATTGTCTCAATTTTGAAACGTTTTCAAGTGTTTAAAAATCAAGAAACAATGTTGATCAAGTGACGGCATATTAAAACACTTTAAATGTTTTTAAATAAAACACTAAAATTTACAATGTCTACACACTCATATTGTCGCTGTTATTCCAAAAAATCGTAAGTGAAATTTCCATTGTTCTTTTATTAACAATAGCAAAATGCTATTGTTATATCCAAATAAAATTTAATAATTAATTCTTATTAATTTAATATTATTATAAATAAATATAAAATAATAGCTTGGCGATAATCATAGACTAATTTAAGATTAATTATCATTTAACGAAAGAAATGCATATTAATCTTAACCTGAATATTTATAAATATTTTTAGAAATGGTTTGAGGGGGGGGGGATGTCAGACTTAACACTATAATGACGATTTCAGACTTTAATATATTAAAGGAAGAGCTCATTTTAAATATACGACTTTTGGAATGACAGGGACGATATTTGTTGACTAAAATACCAATTGATAATTAATTAACCAACAGTTAAATAATTTAATAAATAACGAGATTTCAATTTTAGATATGAAATCCGATACTTATTATTAATTTACTGATACTTAATTTCATTTATTGAAATATATTATGTAATTATTAATTATAAACCCTTCATATCAATGCAATAAATATTATTTCATTAAATGTTTTATTAATCAAACTCATCAAATATTAATTAACCATAATAACATAATACAATTAATTATTTATTAAAATTTCAATTTATCTTGTAAAATATTTAATTAAATATTTACATATTATTTTATTCTGAACAAAGTGAGCAATTTTAATAGAGATAACCATTTAAGAGCATTTCGTGTCAAGCTCGAACTTTTCATTTTATAAAATCATTATTTCAGTTATTTATTATCATTTCAACTTCTCACATTATTATTTGAAATATTTTAAACAATAAAAAAAACTTTTTGGCACTAAAATTTATTCCCTTGGGTTCAATGATCACCAATGCTTCTTCTTTTTCACTCCACATTAAAGTCGTACTTTATTTATTATTTCTCTTTCTGTCTGAATATCAGCTGTTCTCTTTTCTATTTGTGACCTCAAACCAAATAGATTAAATATTGCAGCAAGGAATTACAAAATCATAACCGGAAACCATTGGCAGTGAAGTAATGAATATATAATAAAAGTTAAGAATGAAATAAATCCATTGTAAATCTAACGTTACTGAGGGTAGGTCGTTGTATTATCGTGAAATATACGAGTGTCACTGGCAATAAAACCTCTGAAAGTGTATACTCTAGATTCAACGGTCCGAAGGCTTCTGCTATATTCTCGGTATAGTTAAAGCATTGCAAACTTCCTTAATCTGCATGAATACACATACACACGTGCATTAGAATGTAAATATAACATAGTAACCTTCTTGCACCAAGTAGTATCCTACGAAAACTCACGCCAGCTTATCGCGCTGATATTTTCTCTCACGAAATCTGCTAGTCTTTCCCTCATCAAAACTTTGACTCGCTTCACTTTATTATTATTATTATTATTATCATCATCGCAAGGTTATTAGGAAATATTATCTTCTCAGACGCATACTTCAAAGGTGGAGTAGAAAAAGATAATGGCGGTCACTCGAGAAAAACTAGTGTAAAGAAGAAAGTTAGAATGGGGTAATACAATTTGGGTCTCGGAGACTTGATAAAGACTGATGAAGGGTAGGGTTGTTTAGCAAAATATTAACTGAGGTTCATAATAGAAAATTTAAATATATTGAAAGGAAAATTATTCAATTCAATACTTAATTAGGTGAAAAAATATTTTATTAATTAAATAAACTTGGAAATAGTTTCGAAAATCATTTTCTTTTGTTTAAGTTCTCAGAAAATGATTCAGTGATAAATAATTTAACAATAAATTGCATTGATAAATTATTATTTGAATTAATTTAATTAGGGGAAAAGTGATTTGAAGTTAGTCAATGATCAAAGTATATCGATATTAAGTGACTGAATTCTTATTGGTTAAAGAATTATTATCTATTCATTAATGTCCATTCTGTCTTTGCAATATTCTAGGATTTTTTATTTTAATTCAATATCTGATTCACAAACAATTAAATAATTATTTTCTAGTCTTTTAGCTTCCTCATTACAACCAAAAATCCTAAAAACTCCCAACACTTATTCGTACTTCTGAGAAAAATCATTCTTGGAATGATTTTTTAATCATTTAAGTCTTTAGTTGAATTGCATTACAGTTTTTTTGGTGTTGTCACTAGTGGAAAGAATATATTATATAATTTTTTGTTGCTTTAATTGGTATTTATTTCATTTTCATAAAAATTTTTAACGAATACATTTGTAAGTGTACAATTCAGTTACTGACACACACATGGAGATATTTTTATGTCGATAGGTGCACACACACAGCGAACTAACGTGGCTCGTTAATTCGCGTAGAATGATGAGATTTAATTGTTGATATTACCGAAAATAATCGATCAGTAATCAGTTATTTTTTTTAACAATTCGTTGAACATTGACTGTACAACATATTAAAGTTTGATTAAAAATCTTCCTAGTGATTTTCGTAGAAAAATTAAAAATGACGTGAGATTTGAATTTTTTTTTCAGATTCCGAATGCAGGACAATTTTATAAGTCACCTACCTGAATTATTGAATCGTGAAATAATCAAAAACTGATTAAATTTCGGTCTAAACTTGTGGAATTTTTTTTATCATTATTTACCGACAGAGAAAAATTTTTTAATTTTTTTTTTTTGATTATTATTTAGTATAAAACGTCTTTGTTGGATGCTATGGTTTCAATTCACCCCTCTATTTATTGATGATAGTTGTTTATAATGAGAATATTTTATAAGCAATTCTACGCCGCATCCTGGAATATTATCAACAATAAACACTTTCATTTCGTGCCGCAAAAATAACCGTGTTTATAAATGGCGATATTTCGAGTTTAATTCAAAGAATAGTCTTGAAAGTATGGCATTTATAAATGCAATCTTATGTGCATTATTGTATAGAAGAAGAAGAAGAAGAAGAAAAATATTCGTATATGCTAAACTAGTCCCTTAAG